CTCTAACGTGTACCCCTCAGTCGCTTCAGCTAAAAGCTTAAACGTCTGTGTTCGGCCACCGAGAAAGGCGTCACGAGGAGCCAGTGGAGTTACGACTGTGCAGCTCTTCATGAACTCATCCAGTTCAGGATTCGACCGAATTTCTGCTCGGATTTCGTGTTCCCAAATTTCGGTAACACTTATCCCAGTAGATTCGATCAAAGCCCTTCGAGCTAGAGTTTTTTGATAGAGCTACACGAATATACATTAAAATTGAACATTTATAAATAAATACCTGCTCCATTATTTCGTTGTTCCTTTGGGGAATCTTGGCCGTTGGATCTGTGCACTGGGGACATCCGTGATATATACATCCATTAATCTGAATAAAAATTGTACATGATGAATCATAAGCTACAAACCTCATATGCCCTGTTTTCAACAGGGTCAAAAGCATCCAGTAAGAATGTTTTACCATCAACATTCACCTTGTGCTCATCACCATTGAGCTTATGCACAAGGGTGCGACTCAGCTTATGCTCAAGCCATCTTATGTACTGCAGGGCAATCTTGCTTTGGTTTTGCCCTGCGTTGTACCCGCTTTCAGGTGAGATAAAGCCCACTTGGTTGGGTTGTAGGTGGTTCATTCCGAGCTAAAAAGAATGGTTTTTGTGGAAATTAAACAATTTCTTACCTGCATCACTGAGAAGCTTCTAAAAGTTGTACAGTGAACCAAGAGGCTCCATCCAGTTGTGGCAGTAGCCAAGAACATGTTTTTCTTCATTGACTCGGACAAATAATCCACATCCATCTGGCAATAGCGCATCTATTTATGGGTGTGTACTACAGATAGCAAGAATGGTACGTTCAGAATATTAATATAACGTTGTTTAATTGGAAAATAAAACGTGAACTTCTTTCTAAAATTCCAAAATCTTTTGCATCATTACCCTTTGAATGATAATAGCGTCTTAGTCTCTTATAGAATTCTTGAAAAACCGTGATAACTGAATCGGAGAACAAAATAAGTTTGCAAAAGTTCGAAGTGAAACCTCTACGTTCGGGTAGATTTTTATTATAGCGTGGGTAATAGAACAAAACATATATATAAGGTGAGGCAAAAGATCTAAGATATACATAAGGAAGAATAATAGAGCACGACTATTACATTAATATAGGAGAGAGATAAGTATAAGCATAACTACGCTACATGAGTGGAGTTACAGTACTCTTAGATGGCGCAACTATCCTCCAGCGCTGCTCAGTCTCAACTGAACTCTCTAATGAAAAAGACGTTGAGTCATACAGCTGTTCCTCAGACTGACTCAACAATTGTTCCCATGTGTTTGCTCAAAATGCATTAATGTAGTAATTACTGATCCGCCCGGCTTCAGAAGAAAAGGACTTCCCTCCGCCAACGGCAAGATTTATTAATCCATAACTGTCGATTTTGGTAACATGTGGTGCAACAATTGTTCCTTTTGTTATACCTTTACTTAAAGTTCCAAAATAGTTGTGTTTTCTAAACTTTTGAACATTTGAAGTGTTGCCAGTTGTTTTTTAATTTTACATTGTCAGCCAGATTATTCAACATTTATTCGAACTATTTCTATGTCTTCTGAATTTATCTTGCAGACACAAGTTTTGCCGACCGACGGCTTCTCCATCTCAATTCCGTCCAGCTTGAAAAAGAAAGATTTCCTCGTAACGATTCCCTCTCAAGAGGTTCCTCACAAAAATTCTATCTTAAGAATTCCCTCGTAAAAATTCAATCTTAAGAGTTCCCTCGTAAAAATTACTTCTTAAGAATTGTATCTTTATAAGAATTGTATCCACTAGGATAGGGGTCGCGTCTGGTTGCCACATACCCAATGAAGCAACCTACTGAACTTGAAAATGGAAATTTGTATATAAGTTTAAATATGTAAAAATATAAATGAACATAGTACAAGTTCAAATGAATTAAAATAAATAAAGTAAAAATGAAAGAATAATAATAAATTACAGAATGAGTATGAAAAAATATAAAAGAAAAAATGAAGATAAATATCGAGTTTGAATATAAAAGTACAAAGTATTCGGGCTAAAAGTATAAAATCAAAACTATGAAAAAAAAAATCGTCTGTAATCAATCTTTATCTGACAGGTCAACAGACTGGTCAACAGACTGACTATAACCCAAAAATGGCTTGGTTGTAAATTGCTATTATCACTATTGCCAGACACATAATCCTGGAGATCTACACTGAAATTTCTAAACTTACATCTCAGTAGGATCTTGAGGAAACTCAAGACGTTCAAACTAGGAAGATACTTGACAGGTTCACAGTTATAATTTATAGTAGAAGAACTTGAACACTTTGAACCATCCGCAATTGACCTGAACTTATCCATCTAAATGAGAACATGATAAAATTACGCAACCAGACTACTTTGAGTAACCGAAGTTGCATAGAAGGTTTTCGACCCCGAGACTTAAAAAGTATAAATAGCTATGTTGGGCACCAACACCATTGGACGGAACCCATTGGTTCGTTGTACAACAATTGGCAGTTTTTCAATGCTCCAGGTATTTTTTTTTTCAGTTGATTGTTTCATTTTATTATGTTTAGCTAAAAATGAACCACCTGAAGCCGAATCAGGTTGGTATCCTACCCGAGAACTGGTACCATAATGGCCAAAGGCAGAGCAAGATTGCTCTGCAATACATCTGCCCCATGTGCACGGATCCCGCTGCCAAAGGAACTCTTGAGGGAAGCCACACCATGGAGGAGGTTAGTATTAGTCCCTTTGGCTAAAAACAATTCTTTATAGTTATACAATAAAACCATGGAGAGGCAGCGACTCCTCGAGAGCGCGGGAATCAACGTGACGGTCATCTGGGAGCACCAGATCCGAAATGAAATTAGGAATAGCCCCGAGTTGGCTGANCACATCGTAGTGATCATTGTGATGTCCAATATTTACAATTTTAGATCCATTTGGATTCAATGTTTGGTATATGGAATACATCTTCTGACCATGAGGTCTAGTATACAAGACTATCATATAGTCTAAATTTTTGGCAGCGATGGCCTGCATCGCTGTGAGTCCATAAGCTGGCTGTCCCAGTTCTATGCCAGCTTCATTTAACAATTTTATATGTAGCTCTGGCTTTCCACGGGCAGTATAGTTCTTCCTCAGCATTCTCATCCGTTCTTTAATTTCGGGGTCCTCCTCAACTTCCTCATCAGCCTTTAGCATGCCGAGTGCTATTGATCGTGGCAGACAATAACCATCGGTATTCTTGATGGTACCTTTAATTTTCAGGTCGGCATCAAAATAATGGGTGATTCTGGTGCCTCCGTTCAACACTACGGGCTCAACTGGGGTTTGCTCGTCGAAGATGTGCAACTCTGCAGAGAGATCCTGACCGAGCAAAATTTCCTTCTTGGACTGTTGAATTTTATTTAAAAAATTCATAATGGCCACTCCGTCCAATTCGGTTCTTTTGCGGAAGCTCAGAAAAATGTGGCCATTTTCAAACGACGGATGGCTCAACGTCAAGCAAAACAGAGCATCGAGTGGTTCGCTGACACCACTTGCCTCAAGGCATTGATCAAGAAACTGATCAAATAGCCTAGGCACAGCCATGTGTAGTGGTTCAGAAATACGTTCCATACGGGGAAACGTTAAAGTTCGCACTATAACGCTGACAAACCGCCCGTGGCGTTTGATAGTACGTTGGGATATCTACATGAAATAAGTTTCACACATAACATTAAAAAATGAATACCTGTATTTCACAAAGATCCTCTAGGGTTGTTTCGCCGCCCCATTGATTGACTTCACATAAAAATCTTAAACAACCAATATACAATTTATACGTATAGAACAACTTACTTGACGTCGTCATCATCCTCACTATCGCTGAGCGTGACGACATCATCATCATCTATCGTTATCACATCTACTATTCTGAAAGGCTTCCAAAGTTAAAAAAACTATATTAAAATACACCTGTTGACATTATACTGTGTTTCATCTATGGTTGTCAATGAAAATACCCTAAAAGAATTGTAAATGAAAACAAATTATCAACAGTTATACCTGCTATCATGCTGATGTGGACTATAGGGCTCTGGGGGACATTCTTCATCAAATATGATTGCATCAGCACTACAAAAACGAATACAAAAGTTAAAAGCATTATCATAAATTATACCTGTTAACGTCCTGCTGTGTTTCAATCCTCATGCGTTTTCTAAAACTTTATTACTACAATTGTATAATGTAAAATAAAAATTATACCTGTTATCGTTCTGATGAGGTTCATCACACATACGTTTTCTAAATTTTTATTATAAGAAAATGAATAATGTAATTATTACCTTTGGTTGTTACTTGAGTCCATTTTAATTAAC